TCCCAGTTAAAGTAATGCTTTAAAGATGTATGAATGTAAAGACTAATGTGTAAGGGGAGAAAGTTAACCTACATAAATTGGATCGTACTCCCAATATGAATGTTTGCAATAAACTGTATTTAAAGTGTTCTATAGTAAAAACATTAAAATGGAATCTTAGATTCAGGTAAGTGAGAATCGTGATAGACCACAGTAAGAACGCACTACTCAACAATTATATACTACAGTTATATGAAATCAACAATGAATCACCTCTACTATGTGAGAGCTTACAGTACTCATTGGGTTGTACAAATTAGCTTAGGAGGAGAGGGGGTTCAAATCCGTGAACTAAGAGACAATAAGCTACAACTTCATGAATTGAATATTACCTCATGTTGAAATTATTCACGTAACCTTAAATTTAATTATTTGCTATTAATATATGGAAAACGATTTCAGTCAATGATACTTGAAGGGGATGAAATTTATTTGAACGTGTTGATAGTAGCATACAAGCGCATTTGAACACCTACCATATATATATATATATATATATATATATATATATATATATATATATACTTCTATTCCAATTGTATTCAATGCATCAATTCACTTATTCGTTGCTATGACCACTTTAATTATTGACCGTAAAGCAGATTGTATATATTGATACAAAAGAATAGAAATGTAGTATATACATATGATAAAAATATTTATACCTTAAGTCAAAAATGATATTGCTAATCAAAAAGGTTACATTATATGTCCGATAAATAGTCGGCTTCCGTTATTATTTATTCTTACTTGTAACATTTACATCAAGTAGTTATGATAAATAATCAAGAATTAAGGAAGACAATGCAAGGAATAGGCGGTAATAAGCAGGAATATCTGTACTGATTCATCATTAATTAAAAAGTTTTTGTTAATTTTCTGCTTATTCCCAAGACAATGAATATTTTGTGTAGTATTCAAACAAACTCTGAAAATAAAGCTTTCATTGATAAAAACCATGATTAGTTACCAGCTTAAGCATCTCAAGTCGAATGTCTGATACAAGAAAACACCTAATTTAATTAAATTGGTGGATGGTGACTAGCAGTGGAATCCAGGATGCGCATTTCGTCCTATTTGGGACTCGTCATCTGGATGTACCTGCATTCCCCAGTGGGTGATGATTTTCCCACCATCCCATCGAGATAACCAGTCCCAAATAGGACGAAATGCGCATCCTGGATTCCACTGCTAGTCACCATCCACCAATTAAATTCTAATTACTTACCCAAACATCGTCGAAGCATCTGCACAAGAAGCCGACATGTCAACCTAAGATCGAGCACTTCGGTCCAATCAATCGACGGGAAAATCTAAAATTCAACTTAACCTAATTTAACTTTATGATTTTTAAAACACAAACTTGGTACATTTTGGACACCAAAAGATGAGTTACATAAAATCTCATAGATTGCACGAAATCTAGGATACTGCTTGGATGCCCAGACTGAAGTAGGCGGTAGTCTTAGAAGGCCAATATTCTTGACTTCGGCTTGAAGTCTGATCTACAAGCCAGCAGAGCATCGTCAGCAGCTATGTTCCCATGATTTCCGATGACCGAAATAGTTTCATACGCCATTCAATCCAATTGGGTTCTGTAGCCAATGTACAACATAGGTTTGGAACAGTCAGTCCCCTCCCCATAGGTAGACCTAAACGTTCATCATTCAGCTGTCAGCTATAGACGTTCACAATCACCGTTTCACTTTTGTGAGGAACACCTCTGACGCTTAATGCTTAGTATTTTGTAACCTAGTTTAGTTGTGAATTGCAAAGCATTTATGAATCCAGAAAATTTACACTTATCCTTTTATTAAAGCAAGCAATAAATTTAATTTTTGAAAAGTAGTCAAAGCCTTGGTTAATGAAGGTTCTTCTGAAATATAGAAGATGCTAATTTCCAGTTTCTAATAAGAAATATCAGTTGACAAGAAATATTGTCCTCCACTCCCACAAATACATCACTAGTGTTTTGTGAACAATGATTATTGAAAAATATGGAATTTTATATCTTCTATTGCTGAAGATTCACCGAATTAGATTATTCAAGTTTGCATTTTAGCTACGGAGACATGCGAATCACCATTGCCATAATGGATGTTGGTTTATATAAAATTTAGGGAGGAACTACGCACACAAGTGCAGCTGTTCAAGTTTTCTTACTCGATACAGCACAAAAAGTACAGAAAAGAAATGCAAAAGAACTTTAATGAGCAGAGATGTGAGGGAGAAATGATAGTAACACGTAAAGACATGAGGATTTATTAAATATGAAAGATGACAGATGAATGCATCTGGACTATTGAGAACGATTTTGAACCACATCATCACCAAAGGCGTGTACTCATTGGTTGTTAGCATCTCAAAGACCCCAACTGGGCAAGTTTACACTTGCCTACGTGGCTGCCTTACACCGACTGTAAAAGACTTTATGGACTGATGTCAAGTTTTAGTTTGACTATCCACAATCCATTTCAAATCTAATCCTATGTGAGCTAAAACTGTTCGTCGAAGGCGATGGCTTGGTATGCGTAACACATGTTCTGGCCATATCAATCATTGTAGCTTCACAACCTTATCAACTGACTTCCTCTCTTCACCAAATACTCCACATCTATGCTTAATATTACTGACCATATTATACCACTTTGCACGGGAAAAAGAAAACAAACACCTATGATAAAAACAAACATCAACACTCTAAATGTCGTCATCCACTTCCAATGTCCATGTTTCATAGCCATTAAAGAGCAGCATACACGTCCTTAGTGCGATAGTCGGATACCACGTCTACACCAGAGATGATGTTATTTGGTAAATGCCGAACGAGCCTCCTTTTTATCCATGATGAAATGTTTTTAGCAATCAGCTCACTAGGCTAATGCAACTACTTGAACTTCTCAAACAAACTGAACAAATTTGCCTATTGGTTTTTTGTAGGGATTTAGTTTGATTGGAGGATTTCATCATGAGGTAACATCAGCTAGAGAACCAGCTGGGAGTATTGGACAGCTGTTTCGTCCTAGTTTGGGACTCTTCATCGGTACGCACCCGATGGAGTTCGAACCCAGCTCACCTTGTATCCAGAAGGTCCTGAGTTCGAACCAGTGGGTGAGTACTGATGAAGAGTCCCGAACTAGAACGAAACAGCTGCCCAATACTCCCAGCTGGTTCTCTAGCTGATGTTAGCTCATGATGAAATCCTCCAACCAACCAATCAAATACAATATAATCCAATCTTACTCAGTTTCAGATTTCATTAATATAAGGATATTATTTGAGCAATGTGAGCATTGAGTATAATTCTATAGTAGAATAATTTTATTTAATATATTACTTAGTAGTGCAGCACTTTTTTTAGATTTACTGTTGACGCTTCGAGGACAATTACCAAGTCATATCATATACTTCCCTATTAGACGCTAGTATGAGTGTTTTATGAAGATTTCCAATTGTCATCTGGTGTTGTTTTACAACTGCTGATAAAATAATTTCCATTTTCTCTCTCTCTCCCTCTCTCCACTCCTTACTACATTTTTGTATGACGTCCTTATGTGATATGATATGCGGAGGATTAGGAGTAGCTAGTTGGTTACACGATAATGTCATATACTACTATTGTGTCTATTCCTTTGCTATATAAGCCCTAGAACTAAGTGTCACTTACCACTATTTGACTTTATATGCATACATCATATGACCACCTTATATAAGTGAGTAACTCTTCATAAAAAATACAAAAAAAATTAACTCCACTCAGATATAATAATAAAACAGAACAAAGCAAAACTAAAAAAGGAGAAAAACGACGCAGTTACTATACACTAAAATTATAATTATAATCTTTTAAACGAACAGTAAAACAATCCCATTTAAATATCACAGACTACTATTTTCTTTGGAGGAAATTTTGTGACACAGATGTGAAAAAATCAAACAAACAACAAACGATAGAGAGCACTACTGTGTACTGCGTACCAGACTGCATACAATGTTCCCGAAGTAATAATAACAGTAGTAACAGTAATAATAACAATAATAATAATTCTCAATGTGCATAATAACAATGATATATATATAATTTGAATTTCTCTAACAAAAAAGAAATGCACTCTAACACTTGAAGAAAGGATATGGATAGGATAGGATATAAATTAGCATAACTAGTAATAAATAAATCTGTGTGTAGGATAGAATACAACGGAGGAAAATGAAAGAGAATGCAAGTGAATCTGAGCAGGGAGGAAAACAATACACAAACAAACAAACAAATATTGCACAAAAATGAAATGTAAATAGAATAACCTAAGGACAAGTTTAGTGCAAAAAAGAGACAGCGAGAGAGAGAGAGAAAGGAAAACAACTGGGGTGAAAGAGGAAGGTGGAGGAGGGCCACGAATTGGGAGATAATGAGAAAACAGTAATTGTACAAAATGGACTAGAAATATATATATAGATATTTTTTCTCTACAATGAACAATAATATCTATTGGTAATTAAGAATATATATATATATATATATATATATATATATGTAACCAGTATTTTTTACATATTTATAATTAAGAATGAATATGGATGATACACATCTGTATATGAGAGAGTGTATGTGAAAGAGTGAAATCATAAGAAATGCACGTGAGTATGTATATGTCATGTGTAAAAAACAAAACAAAACAAAAAACGGGCAGATGAAGAAAATGCTACCAAGGTGACAGAGAAAGAGAGGGAGAGAAGAAATATTACACAAGGAACAAATGCCTCATTATTTATTTATTTTCAGGTAACAACGTCTTAATAATAACCAACGCGTGTAATAATTTGATGATATTGATGACTAGAAATAACAATTTTTGGTATATCATGAAGTTTGATTTCTTCATTATTATTCAAGAGTGGAAATTGTTTACATCATGAGAAATGCATCAAATAATAACTGGAAGGAGGATTGTATGCAAGAGAGAGAGAGTGTGTGGGTGTATGTGTGTGAGAGAGAAAAACATGGTACAATGAAAACTGGACAGAGTTCCAGTCTATTGATAGCCACCTCGTTGTCGTAATAACCTGAAAAAGAAGTTGTAAATACAAAGCGACTTTCAGAGAAGAAAAAAAGTGGGAAAAACTAATCAACACTAGACAAACATAAAAGCAAATGTAAAAATACACGTAAGTCAGCGTGTAATGAACAAAGAACAACTTTACATCATACTTTAAGACCATTTAAGTTTCACAATATGTGTGAGCTGTGATTAAAAAAGAAAAGCATAAAAGGCAAGCAATATAAATTACTCAAATAATAAAAAGCAAAGTTGCAATTTACGCAGTCACCACAGTTTCCCATTGGGAACCGAAATTATTCAGATATGTGAACTGATTGACACCGGAAATAGTAATCAAGAAAGCAAGCATGGATAAATGCACGATGCTACAATGCTACTGACTGATTGAGATGACTAGATGGATACTACTCACAAATCAACCAGAAGTGCTTGCCAGCCAGCCGGATTGGAGTGATGTACACACTGGACTGCTGTTTCGCTCATTTTGGTTTGAATTAATTTGCCTCTCTGAGTCGAATCAAACCACGTACAAGACTGATGAGCAGGGCCCTAAACGAACGAAACAGCTATCCAGTGTTTACATCACCTCGATCTGGCTGGCTGATATGAGTGGCATATAACTACTCATCTCAATCAGTTAGTAGTATATAGTTCCTCCACGTCGGCGGCACAGCGGTAGAATGCTCGCCAACCACGCAGGTAGTCCGGGATTCGGTCCCCGGCTGACGCACTCCATTACCTTGCTAAGCCAGTAATAAGTGGTAAAGAGGGAAGGTTAGGCATGAGGCTAGCAACTCCATCCCATAAAAATAAATACCACTGCTACCGAAGCTTCAAAGCTTCTGCTTGAAGCCCTATGTTCCACTGGGAACGTAAAGGAATAAAAAAATTTACAGTTCTGTTGCAACAGTAGGTAGTTACTACACCTTGCTAATGAAGACAGTAAAATTTACTGTACAAAAATAGTGATCTATAAAAATTTATTATTATTCCCAATCACTTTATTCGTGATCAGTGAATTTCTGTACCAAACCTATGCAAGATAATTCCACTGAGGAATAACCGAAATAAAATTAGGTTGGAAGAGGACAAAGTTAACGAGATTACTGCAACGATCACACTTCAGTAATTGATGTGAGATTAGATTAAGTAATACTTTATTGACTGAAAATAAACTACGCGAACCAACTAGTCAAGAGTTACACCTGCAATGATGCATATAAATTATTTGGTTGTAGTTCCCAAACGTTTTCAACTTATCATCTATTACAAACATGTTCATTTAAATAATTTATGTTTAATGTCACACAAACTCGAAGACTTGCAGGCGAAAACCAAAAAGCTGGCTGAAGAGGCTGGCAGAGAAGAAAGGACTCCAGGTTAACGTAGAGAAAACGGAGGTGATGAAGATAACCAACAAACACCGATCACCATCAATGGGAGAGATTTGGGAGACGTTACTTGCTTCACTTATCCAGCTAGGAAGTATAGTTTCAACCACAGGCAACTGGGACGGATAAAGATTTCAAAGCCAGGCAGAATCGTAAAGGCAAAATACACCTTCATCAATCTGAAATCGGTGTGGCAATCTTCTGCACTCAGCAAAAACAACAAGATTCAGATTTTCAACATCAGTGTAAAGTTAGTTCTTCTATAGGGGTCAGAATCTTGGCGCATGCGTCACGAAAAGCATTTCCAACAAGCTGCTGCAGAGTTTTATCAACAGCTGCTCACTTCGCTGGCTCCATACTGAAGACCGAATGGCTTGCCAGCCAGCCATAAAGAAATAGCAACAAGAATCTACGGGAAAAAACTAATCAAGATCCTGTCGTTCAACAAATATGTAAGCGAAAATGGAGATGGATCGGGCATATGCTAAGGAGACCATCAAGTAACATCGCGCGCCAGACCCTCAAATGAAATGCCAATGGGAAGTGACGATTGGGTCGTCAATGCGGGGGTGGCATGGAGGAAATCGTGCAAGAATGTCAGAACAATAATGAAACAAACCGCTTATAGCTACCAGAAAGTGATTTATTCTAGGTAAAAATTACCATTCCATCTCTTAGTGATAATGAGATGCGGTCTACGCTCTTTCAATGAAGGGAACAAGCTTAGGAATAGCAACCACAGAGTACGAAGGTACTAATAACCTTGAATGCATATCAGTCTCCTTGGATTACAGAACCTGTCGTTATTACAGAGCCAGTATGAACAAGTGCACGAATCGATGTGCAAATTTCATCATGATCTCGTTTATAAGTACTGCTTGGACAACAGGTTGATAGCACGTTAGTGATAGGATTAGTATTAGTGTCAGGGTTGCGGTTAAGATTAATATTAGGTTTAAGGTAAGTACCACGGTTAGGACGTTTTATTATTATTTATCTGCATTTTGTAAACAAATAAATGGAACTAGAGTGGTTCGTTGTTTATACAGATGAAACCGTTTCGATAGCTATGAAACTTGAAAACCGATATCCTTCATTGAAATTGGGAAGTACTTCTCAGTTATCGCAGAGTGAAATATCGTCTTCAATGTGTTTTTATTGTTATTATGTTAATTTTTCTGGTAAATAAACGGCAAGTTCTGTAATCCAACGAATGGTATGTGTTCAAGGTTATTGGTGCGTTCGCACACCATGGTCGCCATTGATTGTGTTTGCCATTTAAAAAAACAACTAAAAATACACTTACATAGAACCATAAAACACTGGGAAAAACAAAAATCAGTTGTTTACTTGTGAAATGTTTGATTTAAACGAAATAGCTATATAAGAATTCTAAAGCTTAAGGTAGTCCATTCCTTTCTGTGTCACAGACTAGATTGCGTTTCTTTGCGTTCTGAGTTGGAATATACGGCTTCAGGCTTTCAAGTTTCAGCAGAGGTGTTGCTGCTTTTAAAGGGGGTGAGGCTGCCAGTTTCACATCCAACCTCCTTTCTTTCCCTAAATTACTACTAGCTAGTTAACTATGCGAGGTTTAGGATTACATGAGATAAGAGTCGAACCTGGATACCACTTGCGTGGCTGAACCACTGGCTCACTGTCAACAATAAGCAGAAACGGAAATTACATATAACATTAAGGCTAAATAAGTCTTTTTTTTCTTAAAAGTGACTCACATATCTTCATTAGCTTCGTCAACGCCATACATTGCATTCGGTGTTTTACTGGAAACGACTAGGTTATCGCTTGCATCTCGTCGTTTAGCCCGCTCACGACGTTTCAATTCATATATCAAAATAATTATAAGTAAAATTGATACCTCCAAGATTATACCAATTAGAGGCCACAGGGGAGCCCGACGATCTGCAATATAGAGAATATAAATACACATACACTATATATATATATGCTACCAATGCGGGTCTTAGAGAAGGTAATATTGAGTTATTAGTATAGCTAGAGGATTTCACTACTCCCTACTTATCATTATAACAAAGTATCCAGAATTTATTTGTGTACACATTCATTTACGTACAACTCACTGTCTTAAATGTTGAAAGGAATGGAAACGGAAAAAAATAAGAGTTCTTATCGTCAAGGTGTTAAGATGTCAACGAATCGCTGTCCAAGGAAATCCTACCCAAACCTTACTGCTGTGATAAGAGATGAAGCTTACCGGAAAAATATAAAAACAGCTTTTATCAATTATTCAAAATGCAGTGCCAATAGTTTTCACTAAAAGTATTCCCATTGTCAAATCCATGTTTATGTATTGTAATATTATTCTATTTTCGTGTAGGAATTTTATGAAATATTATAGCTTAAACTGATATACTTCTGTGCTAATTTCCATATTGATGTTTCAGCGTAGTAGTGACAACAACACATTGACAAAAGGATGTGCCTAAGATAGCAAAGTTTGCATGCCATTTAACAGTAGATGAGAATAATTGAAAATAATAAATCCTGATGAGGCAGAATGACATGGCTTATTCGCCTGAGCACTCGGCTTCCAAAGAAACGGCCTTGAGGTTCCAAATTCTGCTCCACCTATTTCAACCCAGGGGTATGATCGGGTTGTACCAGTAGTCATTAAAACAATAAACTTGGTTCATAGCCTGGTAAATGAAAAATCTGTTTCGGGACACTGAGATCTGACACGTTTTGATGAAGTACAGAATGAATCCCAACGCATTGCAGAAACTAACTAGCTACTTCAAGCTGAATACAACTGATTTGTGTAGACGAATCTGCTGGGCATAATGACTGCATATTTTTAAATAATCAATGAGGATCGTGCAGCCAAGAGTTATTTTTGATGAACAACAACAGTGAGAACTTTTGATTTAACTCTGCATCTATCTCATTCCCTAGCTATTTGTAGACATAAGATCTATTCACGATATAAGGTTTTATCTTTTTCAGGTTTTCTACGTTAAATGACATCTAATTCAACGTAGGGTGCATCCTATTCACTGCCTTCATGCGGTGGAAGTGTTCCTCATAATAAGTGAAAGGGCAATTGCGAACGTCCACCGCTTACAGCCAGACTGATGGACATTCTAGTCTACCTAAGAAAAGTGAAAAACCCTGATTATTCGATACTTATGTTGTACATGGGCTTCAGAATTCAGTTGGATCAGATAGCAGTTGAACCTGTCCCGGCTCCTGACGATGCTCCACTGGTTTGTGGGTCAGACTTCAAGTCGAAGGCTGGAATAGTGGCCTTTTAAGACTACCGCCTACTTCGGTCTGGGTGTCCGAGCAGTATCCCAGCTTTCGCACAAACTATGAGATTTTATTTGGCGCATCTCTTAGTGTCCAAAATGTACCAAATTTGTGATTTAATAAAAGTATAATTCAACATCAAAATGACGTCTTTTGGAACTTAAAAAAGCCGCTAAAAAGGCATACTGATACGTACAGCGTAACACTCAGAACATTCACAATTCAGAGTTCATTTTTTCTGCATGTAAAACAAAAGATGAAGTGAAATTGTGTGGATTTAATTGTTTTTTAAATAATTAATTACATAGTAAGCATCTGGCGTGAATTAGTGTAGTCTTCGACTGTTGGTTTGAGTCACTTAGGGAAGTGTAAACTGACTGACCAACTGGGATCCTCGAAAGACAATGGCTTGAGACTTATTATAGAAGGTTCAAAATAGTTCTCAGTGATGCAGATGCATTCACTACTTACAACTTCCAAGATCCATTAAATAGTCACATTATTTTCCATATACACATTCTTCCTGCCGTAAATTTCCATTCATTATAATTACTTTAGAGTTTCTCTACCTTTGTGTGCTATAGGGAATATCAAAACTAGAACTGCTGCGCTTCTGTAAACAGTTCTACTTCGCAAAATCGGTCAATAAGTAGCTATTTATTAAGTATCATTTTCGCTTCAATACATCAATCCTCTCAGTTATCGATCTGACGCTGACTGGTTTGAATCTTCGATTAACCAACCCAGTCTCAACAGGGTATTCACCTTTTCGATATGAATTCATACTACTATTAAGACACCTACATAACTTACCAATATGTACACACATAAATACAGCCACCCCAGCAAAAACACAATCAATATACTATTTTTGATTTACCACACTCCACTTTATTTCAATTAAAACAAAAATGCGAATTAATAAAATCTTCTTCACCAAAACAAAATGCTGACAAACCTTTTACTCGTAAATAAAAAGCTGCAGTATCATTGCCAAGTGCTCCACGAACAAAGCATGAATAAACAGCTCTATCGTCTGGTTGTATTGAGTCGAATACAATTTGATCGTTGGATACATTTTTAGTTTCAAAATGTATACGATTTTCACTGTCATAATCCTCTATATAAGCTTGACCATTACTTTGTATAATTATAGGAACATCATTTCTAACCCATGTAATAGGTTCAGTAATTGGTGGATAGGCAACAACATCGCATGAGAAAGTATATTTTACACCAGAATACGGATTTACACTACGTTCATATTTGTGTATCAACGGTGGAACTTGAAATACAACACAGGCGCATAATTAATTAATGCGGTATGAAAAAAAGAGAGAAAACACAAAAAATATTAGATTTGATATTTTGCTTTTCACATATCATAAAAATCATTTATTTTTAGATGGTTGGAGGCAATGAGAAGGAAGTCTTAGACCTAGTTTTCGTGTTTGTTGGCGCTCGTTGGCAAGGTATATCTGCAATCTTGAAGGGACTCATGTCGCTTCTGAGATCTGAACCCAGCTCACCCAGCGTTGCAATCAGAGACGTTAATCCTAGGCTACTCGGGCTCGTGACTGACATCCTGTAGGACTGTAATGGATACTTTGATTGGACACTCGATAGTAACTATCGGCATTTTTCAAATTGACATTTAAACGAATCTGATATAATGATGACCTGAAACATGGCCAATACGAGTCGAAGGCATGGAAAGGTTATCTGTTTTTGATCATAGATGTTTACGATCTCTTTCTCACGTTAGGTGGCATAATAAGGTAGGTAATGTTGACGTTAGGCGTAGAGTGTTGGGCAAAGAAGGAAAATCGATCGAAGAGGCTATAAAGTTACATAGCTTGAGATGGCTAGGTCACGTGCTGCGCATGCCTAACCATCGCCTCCCCCGACGGACGGGCATTACTAGCTGATATAGGTGCAGGTTGGAAAAGAGTAAGTGGTGGCCAAACAAAAACATGGCATCAATCCATGAAATCCCTGACAGTTAAACTGAGTCAGATAGGGAGATGCAGACTTCCGGGTTGGGGCCCTCGGGACTATAAGAATCAATGGCTGGGGACAATAGGTGAAATGGCTCAAAATCGTTGTCAATGGCTTACGCAGATGTATTCAGTCTCTGTAATGTTTCATATTCCTTTCTACCATTACTCATTCTGTTTCACTCTTATACTTGTCAAAACTCTATTGATTCTCTTAACTCATCTTCTTGTCTACCTTTGTGCGCTATTTGGAACGTGGCAACTCGAACTGCTGCACATCGGTGCCAAGTTCTATGTTGAATCCAGACAGACAGACAATAGTTCGGATAAACATAGAAGTCAACTCTGACCATGTTATTAAGACTACTCAGTTCAGTTTCAACTAATTAGTTGGAAGTATTCAAATCGAAAAGTGGCAACAATCCATTAAAATTCTCTGATTGGTAATTTGGGGAATGTAGAAGACAATGTTGGCTCGTTACGGTCCTCAGAAGGTCAACAATCAGTGTTTGGAGACTCTTGATGACATAAGATTATAGGTTTCCAAGCCGTAGGTGTTACGAATTTCCTGAAATATTTTGATGATTAATAAAAATCTGAATAAATCTGCTGAAGAAGCTGTGGCTTACACAGCGAAACGTTCAGAAAAATCTTGTTTTGATTTTCTTAACACGCTGGGATTAATTTAAATAATTTATAATGGACTTGATGACATACCTTGAAATTGTTCAGAACGGAGTTAAGATATTCAAGTTTTATTACTATCAAGATTCTGAACATTTAAAATTTATGCTTATTTAGTTAGTCATCTTCTCTCCATTCACACTCGTTGATTTTCAACATTTTCATTTTTGTACATTTACGTACATTTTTTCAAAGAGTTGCAAGTTGAACTGATAGATAACTATGCATGATTTTACGCTGATCTACCTCTCCCACTTTACATAAACACTAGGATACAGTTTACCAGTGGCGGGCAATATTAATTACTGGGTGAAAGCATTTGGAGATATGATTCAAAATGTCACGATCAATCAGTTGCCTTCCCCCCCCCCATCCCATCTCGCTCCGGGTATAACATATCTTTACACCTCACCCACTTATCATCTTCCTTTTGGCGTGTTCCACGCGTGTTACTAGTTTCTCAAAACTGTCAAAGTTGTTATGCATACCACTTGCCTTTTATAAAATTGGTTTGTTTATTAGACATATCACATAGCGAAACAGAATTATTTATAGCGTGACATTTTGAACACAGTTTATTCTTCACAATCATGTCAACAATAAAATTTTGTTCAAAACGTAGTGCAGTGTTTGAACTCCACCCTAGGAATAAGTTTCATGTTCCAGATGATGAGCCGCACACACATTGTGTGAGTGCTAGTGGCACCAACCAGCTGCCCACTTTGAAGTACGTGGGGAGTGGGATTCAAGCCTAAGACCCACTGGCTGAAAGTCAAGTACTTAAATCAATGAACCACATCTTCAAATGCAAAGAGAACTGAATAGCTGATTCGTCCTAATCTGTGACTCTTCGCCAGTACACCCCCACGGATCCCCACAGAGGATCGAACCCAGGACCACAAGGTTATGAGGCGAATTTATTGACCAAACATTGGAGTGCCACCCAGTAACTAGTTCTGTTTCCCTCTCTGTTGCATATCCAATGTACAAATTTATTTGGAGAAAGATTAGTGGTGTATGCTTAATGATTATCATAGCTTTAAGCAATTAAAGGAATACATGAAACACGCCAAAACGAGACTATAAATATGTGGAGTAAATATATACATACAAATTTATTTGGAATTATAACTTCCTCAATCTCTAAGTGTTACATATATATTACTTGCATTTATCTTTCTTTTATTGTTTCCTCTTCATAATCATACTCTCAATCAAAATGCAATCATGATAAAATCTTACAGTTTACGAGGTACTCATATTCAGAAAAAAACGTAATTCACTAGAAATATGAGATTTATTCAAAATAGCTTATGATTGATTATCTGATATCATTTACTGGTGCATTTAATAAATGTAATTCACAGATGGTGCGTAAATTTAAAGTTATCCAAATGAATCAATTACTCTGTTCAAAATAACCTTCACTAGTCACAGTTAGAGACTAGTTTACCTGGAGGCTTACTTAAATCACTGGGCTACCTAATTCTTCATCCATCAAAGTGAATCCTTATTTACTCTATCTCACGTTTTAACTATCAGATTACATCTCGAGGTTACAATCTATACTCAAACCTGTTTTCATACAGGTTTTAACCTACGGCTATGGGTTTTTCAAAAGAAATTATGAAAAATCATTACGTCACCCACTGGATAGAACAATACTGTTTCAAATGATATATTACCGATTAATAATGGTAATGGAATATTCTGCAATATATGTTTACATATTTTCCAGAACACAGTTGTTACTATTATTACATGACCTGTAGTCATACTATTACTACTGATAATACCAGTCGCTCAGATGAAGTGTATGTATTTAGTTCGAAATAGCATTTTACTGATTGCAACTTGAATGTATGGGCTGAGCTTTTCAGTTATTTTTTTTTCATAAAAGATAATAACTGAAACAAATGTTCAGTAGTATCATCCCCAAAACCCAAACAATAAGTCTAGAATTACTATTATCCCAAATATTGAAACATAGTGTATTAAACAGTCTGACTGGATGGAGGATTTCATCATGAGCTGACATCAGCTAGAGAACCATTGGAAAACCTGGGAGTACTGGACAGCTGTTTCGTCCTAGTTTGGGACTCTTCAGTACTATGCACTCGACGCAAGGGTTCGAACCCGGGACCTTTTGGTTACAAGGCGAGCTCGTAGACCATTGAGCCACTGGGACCCGATCCAATAATGTCAGCTCGTCATGAAATTCTCCATCCAATCAAACAAAATCCCTACAAAAGCAATACTTGAATATTAAACAGTCAGCAGAGCAAATAACTCACTGTTTATTTCCACTTCGGCTATCTCCATTGTACCAGGTACTACATTGAACATACAATAGTACTTGCCATATAATTCTTGATCATAAGCTATGGTTAGAGAAAACAAATTCATATGATTTTTATCATAATTAAAAGGAGAGGAATAAGAGAAAACTAATAAATACATTATTAGAGTATAAATAAATCCTACGACTTCTTAATGCATCTTAAGCACTCAGTTTTCAGCCTACAGGTGATGGGTCCCAGCCCTGCTCCATCTATATCGGTCTGGACAACTGTGTAGTACCATCAGCCCTGACGCGATAAGTGTGGCACTAAGTGCCTGTTACATAAAAGCTGTCCCAGGACATTCAGTTCAAACAAACGAAAACTCACCGCATCTTAAGTAAGCAACAATAAAAAACAAAACAAATAAACAATAACCAGTAATTTTGAATGTAAAAAAATCCTCTTTATTAGTCTGCACAAACGCACCACTAATTTTCAGCTATCTTAATTTTCTGTATTTCGAAGATCAATATTGAAAATAACTGATCAAAGAAAACTGTCACCACCAGATATACACATAGCATGGGTTCGGTTCCCCACCAATGCACTCCTAACATAAACCCCACTTAGTCTACTGGCCGGTAGTAATCCCAGAAAAGAGGGAAGGTTGAGAGTAAGCTTAGCAACCGCATTCCAAAAGAAGAAAACACATCACTGCCGCTGAAACTTCAGAGCTCGAAGCCCTATATTCTATCTGGAACGAAAGGAATAAAAATAAAAATATTCCCCTTGCCATATAAAAAATTTTCATTTATGAATTAAAATAGAACAATTGTCCTTAATGAAATCTTACCAATATTCTGCTGAACAAAGAAAGATGACAAAAAAGGCATCAATATAATATCTCAATGACAGTGAAAAATTATTCACACAAGATGTTTTTCTGTGTGCAATGAAGGCAACCGGAACAATGAGTCAGATAGTAAATGATACAATGGCTAAAGCAACTATTCAGTTGATTATTGCACAAAATCTGTGATACACTTATGTGGAATTAAGTGAAATCATGTAATTTATTTAACGGATAATACTATTATCTCAACGTGTTGTATCTCCTAGTAATTACCTTATGTTTCAATTAACTGATAACAGAAATACAAACATAAAACTAAGTTCTCAAAGTATACATAAAAGTTTATTTTCTAAAAATAGTGACAGCTTATTCAGATTATGTTCTTCGTCTCTGCGTGTATACTAATAGCTGTGGGTACTAATAACTTAGTTCCCAAATTGTGGATTTGATCCAAAGTACTACCAGTTCGTATAAGTAGCTAGCCAGAAACCGAATGGTTTGAAGTGATTCAACCCTATGAGCTGAATATGACCTGGTGCACCATTTAGAACCTGGGTGCTGAACGAGAAAAACGGCTGTTCAGTGTTTACATCACTCTGATTTGGCTATTAAGCAGTACTGGTTGACGTGAATGGTATCTAACTACTCATGTCAACTTATCAGTAGTACATAGGACCATGCATTAATACTTGATTTCTTGATTGGCATTCATGTGGTATCAAGAAGACTATATATTTTGATCTGAATAATTTTGGTTTTCAAAGGAAACTTTGGTAAAAATGTCACCTCATTGAAGTGTGTAAATTCTAAATCGTGAATTAATTCGTGACCTGTGAATTTGATTTAATTAATTAGTTTACTTTGCACTACATAAGTCGGTATAACAAACTAAAAACCTCAGACAGTCGGTGAACATAATTAAAACTATTATTAAGAAACAAAATATAGGGTTACAGGCTAGCTTTATGTAAGCGATAGATAGTGAATTCAAAATAAAAGATACAATTACACTGAACAGTTACACAGTACACAAGAATCTGGAATAATCAATCATAGAACACCTTAGGTAATAAGGACAATTAGAACTTGATATTACAGCTCCGATAACTACTTCCACCTTTAATTGACGCACAAAATATTTCTATTATCTTAGGTATGTGTTATTTTAGTAAGTTTAATTCGAATCCCTTTTAGATAACCAAAATAAAACAGCTCAATATGCTGTTTACTTCACGCTCCTAGGCTCTTGACAGAATTAACCAAGTGAGTTTTGGTCCTAGCCACCTACAAAATGCTAGAAGACATAATCTTTGGTGCCCCAAAATCGCATTACAAGATGTGATTGGTCTCATAAACGACTGAAAAAGGTCAATGTAAATCACGCTAAACTTCATAAATTCACTGAAATACAATACAATGCCTAAAATAACTGAATTAATTTATACGAGTGCATTTGAAAAAAATGAAAGTCAGTACAATAAGTTTTGTAAGAACAAAAAATCATTTCTATCTAAAAAAAGTATTATCAACTGAAATGATAATGTTCGACATACGATAAAATAAGTCAGGGGAAGAAAACAATTAACTTACAAGGCCGTAGCAAAGTTAAGTTACTCCATATTGTACCCGACTTCTCGTCTCGACTTTCAGCAACTTCATACAGACTAGGTTTAGAATGATACCTGCCACCTTTCCAACGAACAGTAGTGTACTTAATACCATTTGGTCCAACTCGGAATGCACACGCGACAACAGGACGGTGAGTCATATTCAATGCATTAATCTGCAGGTGATAAGAGCCAACAACCTCGTATTTCTTTATCAAATTGACAGTACTGCTAATTTTACTTAAAACTAAGGAATTATGATTATGTTACTGTATGAAAAATACCTCCGTATACATGAACACTGATCTGACGACTGGCGAGTTCATTTGTACATTGATAAACACCCGACATATGAAATCTGACATTGCTAAGTTGTAATGATACTTCTTCATTTTTCTCTGAAGAGATTATGACATGTTCAGATTCTTTCAATGGTGTAAATGCTTCATTTTGTGAAGATGCATACATCCATCTTAAAGAATGTTCGTTAGAAACAGTACGGCAAATTAAAGTGACGTATGAGTTGAAAACAACAGCAACTTCGTCTAGTTCCTTCTGATTCCCGTTAGCGTCCAGAACAATAACTTCGGGTGTAACGGAACCTATTGGAGAAAATAAGCAATTTATACTAATAATTTAAACATAAACTAGGCTTAAAATTAGGCAGTAAAATATGTATGGGAAAATGAAAATAATTTACTCAAACTACTATCTACATAGTTCTTCATGCTTATCAATAAAAATTTACAGGAACCGAATGAGCCAAGTGACAGTTATCACTTGAAATCTGCTCCCATCCAGATTAAAGTCAATGCATCATCTTGTCCCTGAGAAATGCATTGTTGAAATTAACAGTTTACCGGAATCCCCTAATCAAAGGAAAATAATATCTCAAGTTCACTGACTCAGGTCACCACTGCTGTAAAGAAACAGAAAGCGAAAGTTCACAAAAATCAAAAATTACTCCAGGCAGTATGCCCTTTACAGGCAGAGGGTGACTTAAAATGAATGACTTTTCTTATCTGACAATTACTACCTAACTACCAAGTAGCTTACACAGTAATCCCAAATCAAAGACACTACGAATATAAGGACGACTAAATACTACCTGATGTCGACAGATTTTAGAACACAGAAGAATAGAGCGTACTTGCAGCTTCATACGCACATTAAGAAAAAAATCAGTTCATTCGTTTAAGTTGCCAAACTTTGACATAGCTTGCAAACAAGGCAAACAGAATGACGCTACAGTGAGAAGAAAATGCATGAGAAGAATGACTAAGGACAGACAAGAAATGGATATAATCAATTCACCACTACATCACTAAGAGTCACAAACTACTAATTCCTACCATCCCAAGACCACCATCCAAGCAACTGAAACCTCCGTGTATTACACAGACTAGTAAACAATGACTTCATAGGTTGGTATAATGTCTAGACCAAATCCCTTAACTTTGTTTCGGTCTAATCATGCTTAGACTAAGACTAACACACAAAAGAAAGCATAAAACCTTCAGATCTCAGTCGATGAGGATTTACAATGACAGATTGAATTACCTTTTCCAAACACCACGCCAAACTTCTACAGTATTCACTCCTTAGTTTCGTTTCAAGCGGCAAATCGAACGAACATCAAATTCTCCGATGTTTTCATAGATTTGGCTTTCAGTGGCCATGTCTTAGCTATAAAGTAGGACAGAGTAAAACGCCAAACCCATTCGGATATCGCAATGTCGTGTAATTAATGAAGAAAAGTGCACTCCTTAACTGAGACAGTGATATACATAACCACATTAAATTTAAATATCGTGTTGGTGAATTCATTAAGATATCTTCGTTAGCAAACTAAAAGGGGCATATTACACTGTATATGAACATTTCTTGTTCAAAATTGCATCAAAATAATTAACACATCCTGTTAAATATTTATATAATTATTCAGATATTTGAATATAATCAATTATTGTAAACATATAATTCCACTTTTGAAAATCACTTTTTGAATATATCTTACAGTTTATTTCACAAAATATGATGCGTATCACTTTTTGAAAATGTCACTTTCATAGGAGGAATGAAATGGAAAGCTTATTCACTTTATTAAAAGGTAGACACATTACAAGAATGAATGATCGATAGATACATAAGATTAACACATTTCATATCCTCAGTCAGAAAACTTCAAGTAAAACAGATGCTCATGAGATGTTTTATAACACAGCAGTTTGCCATTTGAATGGATGAAAACCAATCGCGCAGTACAAAAGTACCTTGTACTACCTATTTCATCTAGTCCTAATAAAAACAAAAACTCACAGATTTCCGTTCACTTGGGAAAACAATTTAAGGCAAAGAAAACTAGCCTTTAATGGGAAATTTTAACAAAATTCAACTTTCTGAACACTTAAAATGCAAATTCGAAAGTTTGACAAGAATCCTGCCTTTGCTAAGTGAGAGGACAATAAATAACTGTCTATCAACTCCTTACTTAAGAATGAGTGGTGTGATGGAATATGCTTACTAACGCACATACAAAATCCTATATACAAGATCAACATTAACATTCATAATTAATAAGCAATGAAATAGGCAGCCTGCTGCATTCTCGAATTGAGTTTTCTAAACAGAATGCCAAACCAATGTTCACGTTGGTTTACACACTCTCGCTTTTGAAAGACATTTAAGCCCGAAGCTTTCTGTCAGATGTTAATATAAGTAATTCGAAATTCTTGACAAAATCAAAGTTAGATTATATCAAAATTGAAGTTTTATATTATCCAACAGCTACTTTTAGTTATCATCAAATGAGAAAATATGAACACCTGCGTCAGTAATACAGGAAATTCAACTAACTTGCTTTAAAGCTAAATAAGGCATGAATTTCGATTCAGATAAGTTGTGACCACCTCAATGTCTCTTCCTCAATATGAGGTATTTATTCTTACAAACATAAATTTTCATGCAAAAAATTACAAGTCCATGATTTCATGAACCAAAACCACCATTATAAAGAGCCAACGCTATTACCTATTCCTGACGTCGTATGAATCAAAAAGATAAAAATAGAAACGACGCCCAAGTATCTCTTTTCGCGCTTTCCAGGCATTTTAATGAGACCGCGCCGACCGACAGGTAAACAAACAAATCCACCTTCTCGATGTATCATTCGATTGGAAAGGCTAATAACGATAGTACGTAGATGAAATATCTTATTCACCTTAACGAACTGATAATGCGAATACTTCAGATATTCATTTCTCAAAAACAAGTAGACAAAAAGACTTTATATTATAGCTGTCATCTTGTTACCTATATCTTAGTTATAAAAGTTTCAGATTTTGTTCATTATACTTCCAAATTTCCCAAATAGGACCCAAATTACGCAGCAGTAAGAAACAGAGTTGAGAAGAAGTTATTCTCCAGTGTAACAGGATGATACAATACTGTTCGAAATGTGCTACTATTTTTCTTTTGTGAACCTAATGAAATGCGTGATGAAGAATGTCATCGATAGGTGTCTGTGTTTGTAAAAGCAAGGTTAAATTATTTCGAGAAACTGATCCCCTAAATGGTACATGACGACAGTAACCCAATTAAATCTGCCTGCTGTTTGAAGATAAATTTCAGTCCGAAAACATCACTATTTAATCAAATGACACCATTAGGGAGAACAACTAAAGCCCTCGACGAGTGTAACCTGATGAAAACATCTGAAGTTTGCGTGACAGCAGTCTAAGATTGCACTCTCACCAACTTAACTGGAGTAACTTAGCGTTATACCTTGAAAGGTTACCACACTAGTAGAAACAACATTTCGATAATCTGGAATTGGTACAGCTCGTATCTGATACAGGACTCTGGTTAAGTAGTGAGAGTGGACAAGAAATTTATAAAGGATAGATCTAAAATTGGTGGGAGATAACAGTATGAATGAAGTCTGTCAAGTACGAAGCTAACAGTGGCATTTCTGAATTCTCGTCTAAGGTTGGTAACTAATGTCGTAGAAGACATCCACACTAGTGTCCCAACCGCTGAATCTCCCCACACACCAAGTCAAATGCTGCGAAATATCTGCTTCAGTTCCTGTCTCCCTGAAAAAGAGCAGAAATCATAAACCAAAATTTTACACTGCAAGTGTTCTTCTTAATTTGGTCTTTTTATCTATTTCATGGTTTGTATATGTAATACGAGCATCATACATTTCTCATATTAATCGGTGAATTCTCCCTTCCAAATTCTTTCGGAACGCATCATACAAAACATGTATAAATATATAAATTAGAAGAAGGACCTGCAACACAAGCAAGGCGTTCACAGAGTAGTGGTAAGTAATTCCCCAGAACTATTAGCCACCGCATGAATTACTCAACACTGGATGCTGACCCTCACTGTTTAGGTTGACTTGTTCTGCTGAAGGCTTCCGGTCAAGTATCCACGCCATTAGACACAACGTTGTGTTACGTCCGTTCGTTCGTGCACGATCGCTAGCTAGTTAAGAAATCATCACGCACTTCAATTTGATCCCGAAATATTTCTCGAAATTTGGATGATCAATTATTGTGTTTTGCTTTGCATCTGGTCTGCACGGAACGAATAGCATAGAAGTTGTGAATATCAGTTCTTGCGTTGGTATACTCCATACTAATCGTTAACGTTAACAGCCTCAGACTCTCACCTAGCTTAGAGTATTCAGAATCAAGTTTGGATTAACCAAAATGACTTTGAATTCAAGAGTCAAGTGGTGGATACTTGAGGAACAACGTGTCGACAGTGGGTATTGCGTATCCAGCTGTACTGATATGATGTAAGGCGATACTGCATTGTGTCTGGGGAAACCTCCACGTGTCTCTCCGTCTACCAGCCGTCATTTCCATCGACAAATGACATTATTTAATTGACTTGTGTATAATTACGTAAAATAGGACTGCTGCCCAGGAATATATCAGGCAATTTGCAACGATATAACTGATGTACATACTCCACGCACAAGTCTGCCATTATATAGACGAACCACGGAATGCCTACGGATACACTACTTGCCTAAATTAACGCTTGATTTCCATCACGCATGAACTTGAACGGAACCTGTGCGTATCCCTGCTGTGTTTATCTTTAAACATGAAGCTCGCCTCAGCATACTCCAAAATGAGGAATGGTAAAATTGATACACATCTACAAAACTCCCTTAGGACTAACTTTCGATCAAAATTACTGCATAACTAATAATACAAACTTGGGTGATATCATATGTTTGATCACAACACCTTCCAGTCGTACTTACGTGATTTTAATGTGGAAAAAATTTGGCGGAACAATAAAAAGAAAATCTCCTTGAGGAGTTGGATTCTAGGACCTACATGTTTGGGTTGTTAGTAACATATGCGAAGTTATGAATCCAAAACCTTTATGAAGATATTGGTCGTGACTTTATGGATGTACAGTTTTGGCGAAATTTTTGGAATCTTATCAGGACATTTAAAAGGTTGCAGCTGCGTAGTGGCATCAAGCCTGAAACAGGTGTTAAACGTCCAGATTAACACATTTTGTCTGCAGAAGGATATAATAACCCTTGTATTTCATGCTTCCTAACTCGCTTGTAACTATAGCAGGGCCCAGGCAATAACACAAATCGAAGAGAAAATACAGATTACAGATATAGTGTAGAACCTGTTCAAGTACTTCTTTCATCCCTAAGGCACATCACTACTGAAAAGTAGACTTGTCTGATGAAGCTTGACAAGTAAAACACGGATAAAGTAGCATCTTTGAGTATTTGAATATAATAAATGTTAAGTTTTCCAGGTTTTTCCACCGTTTTCTCTTAAGCATAGCCGAACATTTCGTATAACGGCAGTTAAATGAAGGCTGCAGTACTAAAGTCCTCAACCAATCTCTCAGTGAGTGCATGAAACTAACATGCTAACACATACCTACACACAGTGAACTAAACTTTTTCTACGTGTCAATTAGATTTCCGAAGAGAATATTACCTTTGTGTTACACACTGAAGTCACAAACAAGGTGAGAAAATCCAAGTCGTACATGCCGTCGTTTTCTGACTACTTGACTTGTCGTGCACTACCTCACTAGCTCTCACTCTGCAAACGACCGTTCTGTCCCGCTGTAGACTGGTTGAATACGCATAGTTCATTTTGATTGGCTCTCTTTGAATGTAACATCCTGACAGTAAATTTTCCCAATTTCTATCTTGTAATTTCCTGTTTAAGTTTGTGAAACGTTGAGACGTTTTGCAGAATTCGGAAGCATGAATTATTGAAAGGATTTACGTGTCCAATGTAGCAACCAGATTGGGTACCCACGAAATCGCTGCCACTGAGGTAAATCACACTTTCACGTATATCATCTGCTCAGTGTTATTAGCTGAGTGGGTTCATTATTTACAATTGATTCGTATCTACAGATTACCAACATGTTTCTGATATGTCACAGCATCTCAGCGGCCTCACCATTCAAAATCATTTACACAGGAACAGAAATTTATTTCGGACAGTGCGATTTAGACCCCTCTGGACTTCAGAAACACCCATGATTTATACCGATAGGCCAGAATTGTGGGTTGAAAAGTTATTAGTCTAAAGTGTACATCCTTCACGTATCTAATCATTTGTGGTGCCTCGACCGTTTTTTCATTTCCCTGAGACTTTCTCATCTTCACTTATATAGACGCAACCTGATCAAATTTAGCTCCATTGGAAAGTATATTACATACAGTGCAATTATTTCTGTTTTCGGGACTCTTGTGAATTTATATTCATATTTCACCATACCTACAAACTCTCCTACTGATTTGCAAATTGTGAACCACTTTTTTCACTATTTTAAACTAACTAAGAGTTGTAAATATGCGAGCCTATGTACAAAAACAAAAGTATAAATCTCTTTATGATGAAATCAGCTAAGCGGCTTAAATTCTTGGTTTTTCTGTCTCTGATGGCCAGGTGGGCATTTCCCTTAACATCGCCAGAGCAAAATAAGTTAATATTGTACCTATCACTTTCAGAAAAACACAGCTAGACCCAAAGTGTATTGTATTAGCTCACATAACTGAATAAGCAGTCATTAAGCCGCTC